GTCTTGAACCCGCGGGCTCAGGCAATTCACTCACCTCGGCCTCCCAAGGTGCGGGATTACAGACTGAGCCACTGAGCCCAGCCAAAATATAAATTATTTTAAGTTGGATTTAAAACTAAATCTGTGGCAATATCTACAGTCTCATCTTGTCTGAAAATGGGTAGCTGAGAGCCAAAATATTGCACCAATAAGTCTAGGGCCCACATTTAAGATACAAGTCATAGACTTCCTGCCACTTCTAGTAGTTTCCTTGAAATTAAAGATATAGGTACCTCCTCGGACTCCTTTAAAGGGATAGAAAAATGCCACAAGCAGGTTCATCAGGACGGCCAGGTTGAATGAAATGCTGCTCCAGAAAGACATGTTGCGGGCACACCAGTATAAGACGGGCTGGGCTGTGGAGACAAAGGTGAAGCCGGGTAAGGCTGGAGACCCTGAGTTAGAACGCTGGGAATAGTGCGGCCCTTCCTCCCACTGTGCCCCCACAAGTACACTTTTGTTCACAGTTTTTACAACAGTAAAAATGATCATTTGTTTTGAAGTTGGCATATGATGACATTAGATTGGCTTATTTCAGTGTGGAGTACTTACTGGAACAGAAGATGTATTTGGGGACAAGGAAGAAGAGAAGAAAAGGAGAAAAGTTGGACCATCTAAAAACCTTGCGTGCCCTAGTCAGCAATATCACAGCTATGGAATCTGAGGGTTATCCAGAGTTCACCCATTGAGTCCTCGGTTCCCCCAGGGCTCCGGGACCAGACGAGATGCCCAGAGAGACCAAAGAATTCAATTAGCTTTTTACAAGTATGGAGCATGGGAGGGGAGCAGTGGGGGAGACACAGCATTCAGTCAGCCCAGCTGGGCCCCAGACTAGAACTGGTACCATTTCCACATTCTTCCCTTGATCAAAACACTCCACGAATGTCCGGGTGCCTAAAAAAGGCAACAATCCCTTTCCCAACATCAAGTCATTTGCCATTTCCCTGAGATCTGCTGATCATCCTTGGGGATGGGGGACCTAGGGGCTCAAGGTGCTGACTGGGTGGTCGGCAGCAGAGTTCCCAGTTCCAAAAGCTACAAAAGAGAAAGGATGTGACACCAAAGCCACCACAAAAGGGCAAGAGACACCTTAGATACTGCTGCCATCTTATCCGTTGTTTCCTACAGGTGATACTACTTTGGCTGGTATTCTCAGTCTGAGAACAACAAACCTGTGGTCACACTTGGGATAGTGGGGCTTCCTTTTCCCCTGCACTCTTTTTCAGTGGTTCGGTACCCTTAGGATGATGCTCAAAAACAGACGTGGCAGGAATAACTTCATAGTCCATGCCAAAAGCAAAGTTACCAAAAGATAGTCTCATTCAACATTATCTCCTTTCAGAGAAAAGCATAGAGTATATGAGAATGGATCTCTATCATCTTTCTTTTTCCAATGAAGTCATCATTTAACTTTAGAACAGCAGCCAATGACAAATTCAATGGCCCCATAATAATGCTTGTGGCAGCAGCCAAGCTTTTGGAAGCTTCCATCCAAAAAAAATTTATGGTATAATTAAATAGAGCCCTGGGTAATTTAATAATTGCTCATATCATGTTTGTACTTGGTAACAGGCAATGTTTCCAGACTATAGAGTTTTAGAGCTATGAGTAATCATCTAGCTTAAATTCTCTCATTGTATAAAGGAGGGAAACTGAGGCCCAGCAAAGGGTAGAAGCTGTGGAGATTTCTTTTTTTTTTTTGAGTTGGAGTCTCACTTCGTCACCCAGACTAGAGTGCAGTGGCCGCTCCCAGCCACCACAGCCTTGACCCACTGGGCTCTGTCAATACTTCCGCCTCAGCTTTCCAAGTAGCTGGGACTACAGGCGTGCACTACCATGCCCGGCTAATTTTTGATTTATTGTAGAGATGAGGTCTCGCCAAGTTGCCTGAGCGGGTCTCAAACCCACGGGCTCAGGCAATCCACTCACCTCAGCCTCCCAAAGCACTGGGATTACAGGCTGAGCCACTGAGCCCGGCCAGCTGTGGAGATTTTATTAGCCAAGTTAGCAAACCCCTGGAGTCAGCAACAGGAAAAAAAGATAAATGACCCATGTCCAAGTGACCAGGATCTAGTCAACTGCCAGGTAGCAATTTACCTTTTTGTACGTTAACTCCTGAAGCAAATGTAAGATAACATATTTATCTGCTCTAGAAACAACAGCTATTGGTGTTCTCCTGGCACTGAAGCTCATTTCTGATCTAGATATAAAAACTCCACATAAAGACAAAAGAGATGAATGGTAAAGAGCTGATAATTGCTGAAGCTGAGTGACAGTTACATGGGAATTCATAATTCCTCTCCACATCAGTGTATATATTTAAAAAGCTCATAGTAAGAAGTTGGGGAAAAGAAAAAAAGAAACTGGCAATGTTCAGTGCTAGTCTACGTAAACCAGCATTCTCTTCAGAGGGAGCTCCAGTGTCAAATACGAGAGTACCCACTGCAGAATGCTTTGTTACCATTGTAATAAATGGTCTTCAGCAAAACTTGTGCTTTAAAATGAGCATCATTTTGAGCTGAACATTCAGGTCTTCAGTTCAGTAGATATTTATCCAGGTGCAGTAAGATACTTAGAAACCAACCTTGAAGAGCACTGTCTTTTATTTCCTGTGGCATGTGGAACTACATTCCTATCTACCTTTCTAGACTCTTCTCCCACTTCCCTTCCCCATACACTCTGCCTGTGCATCCCAATCTAGTGGTGGTTCTCTGAACACACCCTGTATTCCCCAGCCTCTGTACACTTCCTTTGTGGCAATTTAAAACTATGCTCACAAATTCTTTGATACTCCTCCCTTCAAGGAGTGCAGCTTAGTTCCCTTCCTGTTGAGTGTGGACTTAGCAATTTGCTTCTAATGAATAGAGTAGAGAGAAACTGCTGGTGTGTGACTTTCAAGGCTAGATCAGAAAAGCACTGTGGATTCCTCCCCACTCTCTCTCTTCAATAATTTGCTCTGAGGAAACCAACTGCTGCAGTGTGAGCGTACTCAAGCAGACCTATGGAGATGTCTACATGGTGAGGAACAGAGGCCTCCTGCCAACAGCCATGTAAGAGCGCTAAGAAGTGGATCCTTCAGGTCCACTCAAGTCTGTAGGTGATGGTAGCCCTGACAGACCCCTGGCTGCAACCTAGTGGCAGACCCTGATCCAGAAACCACTCAGCTAAGCTACTCCCAGATTCCTGGCCCCAAGAGATGGTAAAAATAAACACTTACTAAATTACCAAATTTGAGGGTAATTCATTGTGCAGCAATAGAAAGCAACTAAACTACCTTCTGTGGAAGGCAAAATAATAGCTCCCATGTGGAAAGATGTCCACATCCTAATCCTTGGAACCTGTGATTATGTTATCTTACATGGCAAAAGGGACTTTGCAGGTGTGATTAAGTAAGTTAAGGATCTTGAGATATGAAGATTATCTTGGATTATCTGGATGAGTCCAATGTATCACAGGAGTCCTTACAAGTCAAAGAGAGGCAGAAGAGTCAGAGGCAGAATAAGGCAGATGAGAAAGGCTCTACTGGATATTGCTGGTTTTGAAAATGGAGGAAGGAACCAAGGGCCAAGGAACACAGGCAGCCTTTAGAAGTCAGAAAAGCCTGGAGCCTTGAAACTAATCAACATCTTGATTTTAGCTCGGTGAGAACCTTTTCAGGCTTCTGCCCTCTGGAATTGTAAGATAACAAATTATGTTGTTGTAAGCTTCAAACTTTGGGGTAATTTGTTATAGCTATATTATGAAACTAATATATCTCTCCTTTCCCCCATCTCTCAGGCTGTGTTCATCCAAATCCCACCGACCCTTCTAGATGCTATTCAAATCCCACCCTTTTTCTGAAGTCTTCCTTTCCCACACTTCCACAATGCGTCAATGCTTGATTATAGCTTTGGCCATACTTTGCCTGGTATTGCAGCCACTTAAGATATGCCTGTGCTATCTGCCCTCTTCAGATGGTAAGTGCCCATAAAAAAGAGCCATATAGCTTACCACTGTTGAATTCCCCACTGTACCTTATAGTGTTTTCTAACTACTGAGGGCTAAGAGTTGGCTAGGTTAATACACCTGCTACATTATAGCAAAAAGTTGGAGTGTCATGATCCCAGATAGGCAGGACAATTTAAATAACTGCAACCCAGAGTATCTCTTGGTAACATTCTAGCCCAGTGTGCTATTTATCTGTTTTAAAGGAACTGGGCCTTGCTAGATGTCTTGGACTCCATATAGACACATGAGTGTGATCACCACGAGGGAGAAGTCCAGACAAGAAAGTGTCAGCATATTCAACTCTGCCTCCATTTCCTCTTTATCTTCTAGTTTTCCCAGCCTAGACTTTTCACTTCACCGAGGCTAGGATCTTCAGGCGAGGATATCAGAGAGGTTGTGAATGCACACACAGTGTGTGTGTGTGTGTGTGGTCTTGTTGTTGTCACATAAATAAAGCAGGGAAGGTTTATGAAGAGCAGAGCAATTGGGTATTTTAATCCTGCCGAAGAAAATACTAGGCTATGCCAGTCTTGGTGAGACCTCACTACATGTCTGAGTCCTCACTACAGATCTACCAAAGGACAGATGATCCTCTGTGATACATCCAGGAAAAGGTAAAAGCACATGAATGAGCCAGAAAAATAGTTTCTTCAGACTTTTTCAAAGATAAATAAGCTGCTTAGAGGGGAAATGAATTTCATTTTAATTATGCTTCTAATGAGAACATTTCTCCCCTTCCTAAATATGCACATGATGGTTAATTCAGTTATTATTTTCAATTTCTCTCTTACCAGCAGATAGCTTTGAAGCCAATTAAAATCTTTCAGTTGACAACTATAGTTGTGTTTAAGCTTCACCGAAATAAAAACTGTTTTACAAAAAAAGAAAGACTGAAATAAGGGAAGATATTAGCTACAGTGTAAAATAAGTCTTGGAATAATGAGATGGCCAATTTGCAATAAACCAACCAGGTCATAACTCTCCACTTCACAGCTGAGGGTCTGGGAGCAGTTAAGTCACTGGCCTCTGAGCCACAGAGCCAGTGGGGGGCAGAAGTAAACTGGAACTCCGCTCCCCGACTCCTTGAGGCTGAGGTCCTCCTACTACCTCAGGCTGGAGACAACATCTCAGAAAGAGGGATGAGGAGGTATCTCAACTCACCAGAAAAGGTGAGAATCTTTTTGTTGGCTCATAATTCTTTTGGAGCGCCTATAAAACACATGCATTAGATACAAATATTTGATAAAACAATTCTGAGAGAATGAATATATTGACCAGTCTCATAGATACATACACCGATAAGAATAGAATAAGTTTCTTAGCTATTATGAAGGTTTGGGTACAAGAATTCAGGATTAGATTCTCAAGTTGGAATTACAGACTATCCCAGTAGAGGACAAAAGCAACAAATAAGTTCTCTCCAACATGACGTAGTAGCTCGAACTATGAGTATGAGATGGGTGGGCTCTATGTCTACCTTTTTAAGGAGGAATACCCTTTTTCACTTAACTGCCCAACCATGGTGCTGTGTAAAAGCTTTCATGTTCACAGTAATGCTAGAGCTGGAAGCGTCTTAGCTAAATCCGCTGCAGGCCACGAGGACACTCTGATATGGGGTAGAATGGTACCCTAAGTTTTCCGAGGTCCATACCATGGGGGACATGCATGCTAGCCAGTTAGTGGTCCCCAGGGCCTCTGGCCAGACACTGGCCATAGAGCTGGATGAGGGGTGGGTTTGGCTCAGCAAGACATTTGATAATGTTTTAAAGTTCTGGACAGTGGGATGCCCCTTAAAGATGAGCAGGAATGGAGTGGAGCTGGGGCAGGGGGTGAGGTGGGAACAGGATCTTTTAGCAAACCTGCCTGCACAACCCCCTCTGCCATCAGCAGAATGAACCTAGGGCTGCAGGGAGAGAGGGAGAAGGGGGAAGAAGGATCACACAGTAATGGAGGCTTGTCTGTTCCTGCTCAGGTTATCAGAGACCAGGGAGGAGACAAAAGCTCAGAAACTGACCTACCCAGCCCCACCCCACAGAAACAGCCCCAAAAACCACAACTGCAGCTGGAATCCAGGGTTCCAAGCACAATATCTGGCTGCTGACTAACAGATAGAAATAAAGTATAAACCTTTTTAAGATGGCCACCACAGCTGGTGCCAGGTATACGGCTAGTAATGAAGGATCACATTAAAACCCAATGAAGACTAGAAGCAGAGAGTCCTCTGGGGAAGCCCTATGAATGTGTAGTCGACGAATATCATTTCAACCTGACTGGCTGGGCTTCTCAGAGGCACCTGCTGGTGAGCAATGGTGCGTCTTCTGTGGCAAATGATTCCACTGCCTGTGAAATGAGTTCAATCCTAAAACCCAAGCTACCCTGTAAAAGGAAAAATGCCAACGTCTCTGGAGCAAGTGTGCTAGTAAATGAACCATCAAGTCAGCTGAATTTCCTGCTCAAGTGAACAATCCTGTGAGCTCTAGGTCTGGCCCTTTCCCCTTCCCTTTATTTTCTTTCTTTTTCTTTTGAGTTGGGGTCTCCCTCTGTCACCCAGGCTGGCGTGCAGTGGTAGCACAATTACAGCTACCATAGCCTTGATCTACTAGGCTTAGGTGATCCTTCTGCTTCAGCCTCCCTAGTAGCTGGGACTAAAGGTGAACGACATTGCACCCAGCTAATTTTTAAATTTTTTTGTAGAGACAGAGTCTCGCCATGTTGCCTAGGTTGATCTCAACTTCCTGGGCTTAAGCAATCCACCTGCCTTGGGCTTCCAAAATGCTGGGATTACAGGTATCAGCCATCACACCCAGCACCCTTCCTTTTATTTTCTACATAGAGTTACCACAAAGAGGCATTCTAAAAGTCTTCCAGGAGCTCCCATCAAATCGAGTCAAATGCTGCCTGCAGGAAGCCTTTTCAGAGGGGTTGCCACACTTGGGCTAGAGCCCATTTATCAGCTACAAAAGCATCTATGGCTTCCTGGTGGTCAGAGGTGGAAAATACCATGCATTTCACCAGCTTTGCTCCTGCTGAGAGATAAATGCACTATCACGCCCAGTTTGTGCATCCCAGAAGTACATCTTGCTGTGGTGTTGCTGAGGCTGCAACCCACCTCTCAGCTTCTTCTGCCAATTCATTTCATTGAAGAGGTCTTCAGACCGCAGGAAGAAATCGTTGATTTTGCTGCCTTGCTCATCCCTCTCTGTAGTGTAGTAAATTCGTAGTTTTGACTCCTTGGTTAGGAATTCACATATGCTGGGCACGGGAAAGACAATCTGTTCCATTGTTCGGTCTAATCGGACAATCTAGGGTGAAAAAGTAGATGAAATTAAACACTCATCTTTGAAATCTTTTACTAAGACAATTTGCTACTGGCAGTGGACTTGGGGCTCAAGACCAAGTATGACAGGATCTCCCATTTTATAACCTCAGTCTGGGCTGTGTGTCTCTCAGATTTATATAAAAGGTAGTTTTGGTAAGCCTGAAAGAGTATTTTCCTAAACTCAGATCCATGAATTTTAACATGACCAGCTTTTATATGGGACAGTTTATTCCGTATTTTGTGTTCCTATTCAAATGGGGTTGGTGCTGTCCATAGAACTTTCTGTAATGATAGGATGGTTCTGCATCTGTCCTGTCCATGAGGACAGTTGCGAGTTACATGTGGCCCCTGAGTACCAGCACATGCAGCTTGTGCAACTAAGCAGTGGGATATTTAATTTAACTTTAGTAGTCACACATGGTTAATGGCTATCACACTGGACAGTGCAGTACTAGGTAGTGGTGCCAACCTCACCTAAGTCCCTTTCTCAGATAGTAAAATTGAGTGATTTTTCCTAGATAGGTCCTTTAAAAAAGAGATCTTTGGTTTATATCCAGTTGCAATGACTGCCTAACTCTTACATGTCAAAACATATGACGCATGAACTAATATGCCATTTAATCTGAGACAGCAACTATTGTTCTTTCCACAAGTTTTATTGCACCCCAGGAGTGGACACCTTGCAGGTTTCTTCCCTGCCTCTCCTAGAGTGGCTCAATCCCCAGAGTGGAGGGAGTCTGGTCTGGATTGTTAAACTTCAGGACACTTGATGGTGTCTTTTCAAAAGGGGTTGCAGCATAGACATGGCCTTTCTTTATTCTTCCTTCCCAGAGGCTGGAGAAGGCAGGTGAGGCCCAGGGACAATGTCCCCTACAAGAAGAGCTGGTTCTTGTTCTCCTGACACCTTCGTTCCCTGATGTAGCAAGAGAAGCAACTCAGGTCAAGTTGGAGTAGGAAACTCTCTCAGAAGGGAGAGAGGTTCCTATAGCCCTGTCTCTGTCAGTTCTGTGGGATGTAATCTATACACCAGTGGTTCCCAAATCTAGCAGGGGTAGATATCACACTGATTCTGGTCCAGAACTCAGTCTCATGTAACTGTAATTGTGGCATGGAGGTGACTAAATCTGCACACAAGTAGCTACCCAGGTGATCTTGGTGTCCACAAAGGCTCAGGGACCAATGCTGCTGTTTCCTGCTAGCAAGAGCCTGCCTACTTTACACAGTCAAGCAGGCTTGGGAGCAGGGTTCCTTCCCTGTAGGAGAATGACTTGAGGTGTGCATCTGGGTTCAGAAGGGAAAAGAGGAATAGATAAGAGGGTCCCCTGGCAAGAATTGAGTTCCAGACTCCAGGGCAACCCAGTCTAATTCACCAGAGAGAAGACACTGGGTTTGTGAGGAGAACTCCAGGTAGTAACAAAGTGTCCCTGCTTTGCATAGATAACGCCTTAGGGGAAAATTGAAGAGAGGGTGGCTAGCCAGGAGCAGGATCTGAGAGCTAGGGACTCCATGCCTGGACATTTCTCTCTGTCATTTAAGACTATCATACCTCGTTCTCAGTAGACTTAGAACTGGGAGTCAAGAGAACATATTCTAGTCCTTCTTCCATCCCTAATGGGCTGGGTGACTTTGTTCACGCCTCTTAACCTGATCAAGTTTCAGTCCCCTTTCTAGTGAGGCAAGGAGTTCAAAGACATGATCTCCAAGGTTCTGATCTTCTCTGACAATCGACATCACAAGCACCTAGAGCTTGTCTTTTAAGGGTTCCAGAGGACAGAGCTGGTCCTGCAGTCGAGCTTCTAGGCATTAACGATAAATCAAGGATATTTTTGCTCACATATACTGGCATGGTTGGCTAGTCACTGAAATGATTTTATCAGGACAGCCCAGAGACCTAAGATATCAGGTAAGAATACATTCTGGGAAAGTCTCCATCCTGAATGTTTTATCTTGCCCAAAGGAGTCTGTTGGTTCTTCAGAATCTTTGCTCCAACACTGATATTGAGTTTATGTATTTCCTCATTAGCAAAACAAGGCACATCATTCCTTACTGCCCAGTATCTGGAGACAGAGATCTGTGCTCTCTCAGACACCAAGAGGCAATGTGGGTAACATAAAGTGCACCCACGGGCTCAGGGACCAGACAGATCAGGATTAAAATTCTAGCTCTGCAACTAATTGAACAAGTGACACATCCTCTTCTGAGCCTTACTTCAGACTTCTCATTTGCAGAACGGAGATGATACCCTCTATTTAATACAGAGGATGAGGACGATTTTGCTTTTTTCAGAGAAAATAGTAAAGCTTTATTGGGAGAGTTTAACAAGTCAGATTTTCAATATAATGGTAACATGTCTTTTTAACTGATGGCTGCCCATCACCTACTTCTGGAATTGTAGATCAGGTGGAGTCTTCCCTTCCACATCAAGGCCACCTCCATGCTCACAATACGTTAACATTCAATTTTTTAAAATGTGTTATCTGATGGTAACACTTCCCTAGAGAAAAGCCTCCAACAATCCCCCTTGCTCTGGGGTGCAGTCCAGACTTCTAAGGATGGATGACAAGCCCCCACAAGGTCTGGGCTGCCCACATCTCCTTTCAGATCCCCTGTTGTCCTCCCTCTCACTCACTGAACTACAGCCGCATGGGCCTTGCTCAGCTCTTCCCCACCCCCAGAAACTTCCCATCCCAGCTTTCACTTGCCAATATCCCCAGGTCTGAAAAACTCCTCCCCCCAGGATCTGCCTGTTTCATCCTTCTGTTCTTCCAGGTGTGTGCTTAGATGCTGTTTCTCCAAAACAGGCCTCCTTGGCCACCATCCCTCTGCTGGACTTTCTTATGCCTTCCACTCTCCTCAAGGCCTTGTCATAATTTGTGAAGAATGAGACTTACTCATGTAGGGTTGTTCAGTGTCTGCCTCCCTACCAGACCTCAAGTAGCAACTATGATTGTCTTGGCCATCGCAGATATCCAGCACCCACCCAGTGCAGGACCAAGTATACAATAGGTGCTCACAACATTCTTGTCACTCAGATAAATGAATGCATGGTAGATCCAGCACAGGGCATCACACGCCAAGGGTCTCAACACAGGCTGTGCCCCAAGCTCACTTGGCTTTTACCTCTATCTGCGCTGTGTGCTTGGCATAAAACTCCAGGGCTTCATCTCCGTCCACCTGGCCACCAGGTTTCAGCATAGTCTGAAGTTCTTTGTTATGTCGAGCCAACTAGAACACAGGGATAGAGATACAGGGGGTCGGTGTCTCTTCACAACAGGAGCACATAAGCTCCTTTCTAAGTCTGGGTATAAAAAATGCATAATAACCAGCGGCAAGCAGAAGGGCAGAAGTGGCTCCATCCTGTCAAGTGTGTTCTGCACAGAAGCTATTTTGGGAGCTGGTAGAAAAGCATGGAAGGCTCATGCCCACGCGAGGTCCCACTTTCTCCTGATCTCATTAGACAGCCAGGAGGGAGATGGGAGCCTCCCTTCAGAATGTTCAGAAACCTCCTCAGTGGCTAGATGCTGGTCATGGAGGAGATAAGGGGCAGGAGGCTGTTTAATTCTTCGGCCAGTAAGCTGTGGCAGGGACCTGCTAATCTCAGGCCCAATACTGTTGTCATTTTCTATCTAGTCTCCACACCTGAGTTTAAAATAGGTGGAGGGGACGGAAAACACAAGGCTCCAATAGGGTTACAGTCTTGCCCCTACCACCAGAAAGCTCAAGGCACACCAGCATCCAGGAGGAGGAAGCATCTTCAAACATCCAGCCGCTTGGGAAGAGAATGATGAAATATGGCATCTTGGTGCCAGGGCATAAAGTATTGCCATATCCCCAAAAAGGAAAACAAAAGGAAGTCATAAGGACAAGTTCCCACAGATTTCCAAATGCAATAGGCGAGGAAGCCGAAGTTTATTTCTTCAGATTGTTAAGAGAGACTCATCAATATTTATAAAAGCCTAAGACTCCTTTCAACTGTCTCCAGACAAAGTCATAAACCATCAAGTGCCACCGCTTGGGGGCGAATGCTGTTAAGAAGCATGGGGATTTCCAATGATGTGACCCAACCACTGTGGAAAATGGAAAAGTCCTGGAACTCAGCACATTGGACCAGGTTGCCACGGGTACCTGCGAGCCACATTCTCATGGGTACAGACAGCCCTAGGTTAAAGCCATAAAAAAAAGGTGGGTCTCACAGCACCTCAAGCTCAGAGTTTTGGCAGTGCAGGGAAGCAGCATCTGCAAGGGGCATGGGGAGTGGTCATACCTGGTGAGCTAATATGTAGATGTTGTGCCCCACGTTCCTGGGGGAGGCAGCTCCATCCTCTCCATTTTCTCCATCCTCAAATTCCACTTCACCTTGCATGTAGGCTTTCTTGATCACTTCCACCTGCAAGAAGGGCCGAGAACAAAACTCCCCTTTCAAGGAAGGCTCACACAGGACTGGACGGACAACACCCAAAATGGCTGACCCCTCATAAAGCGGATGCAGCCCATCAAGTTCAGCAGCCTTTCCTGTCTGGCTTGGACACTGCCTCAGAACCCTCCCAACGCCATCACAGGCCGTCGAAGCCAGTCAACCGCTACTGACGTGAGGAATGGAACTCACTCACTCTACTTAGACCAAGAGACATCCTGTAGCTGGTTCATGCCCTTCTACTTTAGAAGGAGCAATGGCTTTAAAGAATCTTGAAACAGCTATAGGCTTGAAGACAGACTTTTCCTATTGCTACATTTCTACCCACCAACTCTCCCACTCCCAACCCTTGCCATTTCAACAACAACAAAAAAAACTAATATAAGAAATCTATAGGCTTTAGTGAAACTATTTTCTGATTCAAAATTTTTCCCTGTCTCCCCACAGCCTACTCCATGTGAAAATAGCCAAGCACTGTGTTTAGTATTTTAACATTCTTTAAAAAAACTTGAATGCTCACAAACATTTTACGAGGTATCAGATTCCCCCATCCTTCTTCTCTACGGATGAGGAAAGAGAGTCAGATAAAAGGATACTCCTAAAGTCTTAGCTAGCGAGCTGAGATTTGCACTTGACTCCATTGCCCTTCACAGCTGCATGCCTCTGCCTGAGGACCCATGCACTTGGCACGTCTCATGCTTACAGCACATTTCTTAGAGTATTTGTGTATCTGTCTTGCTGTTCTCATCTACCCAGCTTCTTGAGAACAGGGACTGGGTCTGCTCATATCCGAATCCCTTCCCTAGGGCCCAGCACAATGCCGTGGACAAAGTAGGGCATGGCTGATATTTATCAGATGGACACATCATTAAAGACTTAATCATTCAAAGAATAAGAAGGAAATATCTTCAACCTCTAAGTGCTAAAAATTAATCATTTTCTTTGATGATTCAGAAGGCATTTCAGTCTCCTGCATCCCCACAAGGCCATTGCTCTGAATTTTTGTCATTATCCAATACCAAGCACGCAGAGGGCCACACATTTCAGCACTGACACCATGACAAGCCCTGGAAATAACTTTGGAGACAACTGCCTCACTCTTTGAACTTATTCTCTCTAAGACCAAATCAAATAGACAATATGTTGCATAGGCTATGGGGGGGAGGATACACACACATATGTATGCGCACAAGCTTGCACACACACGTGTTCTGGATATTAGAGCTTTCCTCCTATTTGGATTCTTAGAAAACTGTTCCAGGAAGCCTTTGACTCTGCCCACGAGCCAGAATGATGTTCTCCAACCACAAGGGGGCAACCCCGGAGCCAGTGACAGCCATGGGGCTGGATGGTGACATTTTCCCCACCTAAGATAGGTCATGTTCTTGATCCATGGGAACCAGGATGGGGTCTCTCCAGAGTCATTTCATCCCTACTCAAGAATGACATACCTCGCCTCCCCAGTAACCCCCAGTTACGTAAGCTGTTATGTAAGCTCGGCGAGGACTTCCATCTCAGGCTGAGAACTCACTCCCTGACCTCAGAGATCAAAGTACTGAGCTGCTCTTAACTTTATTTAAAGGGATACATAAAGGGACTTTAGCCTGGCCCCAAGTGCACATTCAGGTCACCAGGAGGCAGAAACGTTTTAGTGCCCTGGTTTAAGTCTGTCAGTTACTGTTTATTTGCATGGGGAAAAGTCCAAATTGAGACTTCTGTCCTCAACTCCTGACACTGTCTCTGATAGCTGCTTGTCTCACAGTTTGCAGCACTAACTCCCAGCCTGGAAGTCACAGCCAATTGTGAATGTCACCCCTCAAAAATAAACCAGATCATGTTTTCTTTAAAGAAAAAAAAACAAAAAAACCCAAACACTGTCATCCAAAAAGCACTCTTCCATTGCCCAGACTATTGGCACTAAGAAGAGATGTGAATTCTTCGGCAGTGGGCAAAGAAACTAGGCGAAAATACTAGCAATAAGTGAGGTACAGGAAGAAAAGGAGCTTCAATTCACCAAGGGTTTATCATGTGCTGGGCACTGTGCTAAGGGCTTGATGGGGATCGTCTCATCCAGCCTTCAAAACAACTTTCTGGACTAGGTAACATTATTATCTTCCTTTTACGGATCAGGAAAGTGTGGCCCAAAGAGGTCAAGTGACTGCCCAAGGTGACACAGCAACAAGGGCAGAGCTATGCACTTGAACTCAGGTCTGTCATGCTCCGTGGTCATGTACTGCACTGTCTCCCATGAGAGAAAAGAAGGGAACAAGCCTTCCATGTGTGGTTTGTTCTGAAGGGAGAGAGTAAAAGACTATGTCTTCGATGCAATGCTTCACTTCTCCACTCAGTCAGAAGCCTGCATTAAATGTTCCCATTATACTTCTGATTTGGGGGACTGTTCAGAAAGCTCAAGGAAGCAGATCTTCTGCTCTGCCCCAAATATTGCTTTCATATTCCTTGACGCCATGGTCATGGGACCAGTCACCCAACTCACCAGTTCCTTAGGCCTCATGTTATAAAGTATCCTCTCCGCATTTTCACTGTCATGCCTGCTTTCCATGATGGCTAGGAGCAACTTCGAGGCATTGTTCTAATTGGAGAAACAAAGGGAGAGGAAATATAAGGGGGGGGACACTTGAGTGCCTGGCCTGAATTCACATGCTGGTTGACATGGTGCCCTGGCTAAAAGATGCGTATTTTACTCCACCCCACGGGGAAGCCCTGGGTCAAGTACATCAAAAAGCATCTGCAACAGGCAGAGAATGTGCCACTTCAGACCCCAGAGACGTGTGTGCAGAATCTGGTTTGGGTCAAAGAGGCATGTGTTTGTTAGGGCATACGTGTTATGCCTAAGGTTAGCTGGTACAAGTCCTCACAGAAATTGGAGATTTGAACATGGATGCTTGTGGGTACACTGTCACCCTCATGAGGACAGTGGTCAGGAAGAACCTGCTACACAGACCCATGAGGGCTTCATGGGGAGTATAGTTACAAACTCTGTTATTTGGCTTTGCAGGCCAGAGAAGACAGGTAATAAATGTAATTCTGCTCTGTCTTAAAATATTTTTATCAGTTCTCATAACCCCTAATACTTAGTGAGCACAGTTATACTAGGTAACAAAGTGACCTAAAGGAACACTATGTATGCCAAACCATAATTCCCCATTACATTAAAAATGTTCATATGTCTACACCCCATACTTCTTGGGTCACTTTAGGCGCCAGGCTTGTGATAATTTGTACATTTCTCTGTATATAGGACTCAAACATTGTTGTTTTTTTTCTGGCAAGGGGAAAGTCTTTTTTCCTTCCCAAGTTTAGGTCATAGCAGTTCAGTCAGGTCATTGTGCTACCACAGGGCAGTGATTTCTAGAGATTATTGGATTAGTTGAAAAAGTCACTGAAATGCTGACCAGAAGTGCAAAAGATTCTGTTTGTTTTAGACTTTCTGATAAATGACAGCCAGGTACATGAACCTGAATGGTGTTCAAGTCAATTCTAAAAACTTACAACAAAATCTGTCAAAAGGAGTTAAAAATAGAAAAAAAAAAATTCCTTTAAACGACATACCCAAAGCAACTGTTAGTTTGGATTCTCTAGTGTAAAATATTAAAGAAAAAATAAAAATAACTGTGTCATTCCTGTAGGTCCCTGTGTTAACAACACCTTCTCTAATGACCTTTCCTATGACACCTTCATGCAATAAATACAGATCAGCTCCTGTAGTTCTGGGCTCTTTCATCATAATAATAAAGCACTCACTGCTACATATAGGTAGATAGAGGACAGATCTCAACATGCCCCAACCTGGGAACAGTTAAAAAGGAAATGTGCTCGGAAAGCCTAACACGTTTCAAAACACACTTTAGACAAGGATGGGTTGCAAGTGCAATTCTCAGAATTGACTCTTTGGATTTTTAGAGAACCTTTGGATCCCCTAAAGAGGGAGGAGAATTTTTGGGGTCCACTTAGGAAATCAACAGCAGGAATAGTATATCAGCTTCTCAAATATCCAAGAGGCCGGCTTGCAAACACAGAAGCTTAGCACGATTTTCTCTCTGTAAAGCTATTTGAGTATTATGGGGAGTCTGAATGTCAGTAGGGCTTCATATCAATCACCTGTAGTCGTCCTTGTACATACTTCAGAGAAGCTCAGCAGAGGTCTGTAGGCACATTCTTCGTCAGTGTAATTTCCCTTATTTTAAGTCAACACTATTAGCCACCCTTTTGCTAAATCAGTGACAGAATAGAAAAATATGTTCTCTTAATTAAGTACAAATAGATTTTTTTCTTTTGTTCTAGACAGGCTTAGTTGTGCTCTTTTTCAGCTGGTCCTTTTTCTGGGGGGGGGGGGCGGAATCTGATACCATGGGGAGAATGGTGTTTCCATCGTTTCTCTGTTTGGGGCTTTCAGAGTCAAGGCTTTTAGTCTTGGATGCTGTTTGAATCCAAGGGGAGAGCCTTGAGTGAGGAGTCCTCACTTTGTGTGACCTAACAGTTGAAAAGCTGGTGTCCTGTGGAAGGGAAAGGCTGAAGTTCTGCATTTCAGTCACAACTTGCATAACTTGCACCTGAGCTCTTTCATTAATTTTAAAAGAACTATCTTTAATATTTAGTTCACAACACTGACCATGCACGTGCCAAGACAAAACACAAAAGTGATTGCTTTCAAACTTTTGCTTTCAATTCCTACTTGCCTTCAGTTCTAATACAAGGTCCATCCTCTTCTTTCCCAAAGGATTGATGTCATTAAGGATCAGGGCTGTGATTATGTCGATTCCATTGGATTCATGGGTGGCTATGCAGTTCTGGGCAAAGACACACAGACATTTACACAAATGCTGGTCATAAATCAGACGTCAAAGGCCAACAGGCTGAACTGCTATTTCAACACAACGCTTACCACTCCCAGTAATGTCTCTAGGGGAGAGCTGCAAATTTTCCGTGAGAAAGTGGTAAAAATAAAAGACAGATGAAAATCTCTAGTTTCAGAATTAACAGTAAACAGTAGGAAAGTCCCCATGCACTGTAACTGATAAATTGCTTGTGTCTAATCCAAATTGCGCAGCACAGCCGGCTTTTGTTCTTAAAGGAAAATATGGTGTATGACTGATACTGGGTTTTGAGCCCTTTTTCCCCTTTCAAGGTATGTTTCATTCTCTCTACATCACTCGTTTTTCGTATTTCATACTTTAGCTTAAGGCTTAAGCTTGGAAAGCAAGTTTCCTGTTTAATGCACAGAATATCAAAATTAATCATCTGCCCCCAGGTAAGGTCTCCATTTGCAGTACAATCCATCCAGTCTGTTCCTTTCAACCGGCCTCTGTTTGGCAGAAAAGCAAACTTGAGGTAATAAGGAAATTCACTTAGATGTCAAATAAAGCCTTTCCCCCAAGCCTGTTGTATTTTTTTGTTCCTTTTCATTTTAACTAGGACTACACCATCTGCTTCATCAGAGAACCAGGAGGGAAGTGAATCTAACAAAATGTGGTCCTCACATTCACAGACAACTGAGACCAGGTTTTTAATAGACAGTGAGCTGTCTCTCATAAACCCTTCTTTTCCTCTGAATGAAGGGCTTTGCTCCCCAAGTAACACAGCATCTCATGCCTTCCTTGGCTAACAGGTGTAGAACTGGCCTTTTTAAGCCTTAGCCTACCCTCTCCAATAAGAATGAGCCTATAATTTGGAGTTAAGAATCATACTCATCCTAGCACTGATGCCAAAACTTACAAAATCTTCAAGAAGCCTTGTATAAACTAAGAATCCATTCCAGAAAAGAAACTATTGGGTTCCACTAAAAAATAAGACTTCTTGAGTGCTCAGAGTCCAGGCTAACTGATCTTTCTTTTCCCTGAATGTCCAAGGGGTTAAAATCTCAACTATAAATGGCCTCACATTACTTTTAAGCTGTCTATGTATAGCCATTTTTTTCTTTCTCGCCTGTTGTACTTGAAGGGTTTGAACATCCTGCAAGTAGCCACTCTTTGATATTTCCTAGTATTTAAAATAGATCCCAGTCTTCTGGTTCTAATATAACTCCCACTTTATTACCTACCCCTAATAGTCAGATTATAGGTGGGACATGCAAATCAAACCAAACCAAACCAAAGAGCCCAAGGACAGTCCTTCCAGTGCCTGTCATTAGTAAAGTTCTGAAGTGTCATAAAGCACTGTGGCTACTTCTCAACTGCTGGAGAAAGGTTTCCAGTCCTACTGACTCCGGAGGATGACAGGCAGATGCTATATAACTTCTGAACTAGTATCTGCCAACATTTCCAAAATGAGAAACTTCCCCCCCCCATCCAAAGCACAAATGGAATTACCTGGTTCTCATGGCAAGGCCCTTGACAGTATTCAGTCAGACTTTCCAGGGTTTGGTTGATAAGTGCTACGTTCTTTTCATTTATGTACAGCCCGAGAAGACCAAGGCCTCCAGTTGTGCTTCCACAAATACAGTCCAGAAACTGCAGTGTCTCACATACCAAATTGTAGTTGGTCTTGTTATTTTGGCAACGAAGGAAGTTCTGTAATTGGGCAGGCCCCAGGTTGGGTAAGCAAAGGCAGAGAGAAGAGGGAAAATGTCATTTATCCTGCCATTTTGATAATCTCCAATAAATTGGTGCCCTGGGTTGACGAGCAACTATGCAGAGAGATGCAGCATGGGACGAACAGAAGAGTCAGTGTGTTCCCCTCACCCACGATGGTCAACCCACAGACTTGGTCTACAGCAATGGCTACATCTTAAGGTGCTTTTATATGCAATGCTGTGCAGGAGAGCTCTTCTGTGAGGACCCACTTTACTCTTTTTGAGTCCTTATTTCTCCATTCGCTTCTTACTCTTCTCCATTCCTGCCCAGCCCCACTCTCATCAGGTGCTAAGTTCAGAGGCAATGGACATTTCCAAGGGCAGTGGTTATGTTTAGAAATGATAGTGTGGTCTGGGTGCCGAATGCCTGGAGCCTAGCACTGGGGATGGTTCACCATAAAATGAAGTGTGATCTGCTGGCTTAAGCCCAGTGCTAAGGAGGGAACCTATACAGTTTGCTTTGGCTATTTCCATTATGAAAGGAAGGGGCAAGAGTGAGTAAATGTGTGCTTGTGTGCAGGTTTTAACTGGGTAAACTTGAAATGTTAACAAGAGACAGAAGAGCAAGATACTTCCTCAACAAAATAAAGAAAGCCACATTCAGCCACCTCATCAAGCAGTATATTTTGATGAGAAGATTTTTATCAGAGACTTGTTATCTGTTCTTAAAAAGGAGCAAAAAATAACTATAAATATTCTTTTTTCTTGTGGGTTATCAAAATGGCTGCAGAAAATGGGTGACATAAAAAGATACAACCAAAAGGTAAAATGAATGCAATCTTTGACCTGGTAATTCCATTTCTATGACATTTTCAGGTCTGTTCACAAAGTGTGTATTGTACAGCACAATTTACAACAGTGAAGAACTGGAAATAACTTAAATGCCCATCAATTGAGGAGTAAATAAATTATATCAATATCATTTAATATTATAAGTTGGGAACACTGAGTAGATCCATATGTGCCAATATGGAAACATTTCCAGGACATACTGTCAAGTTAAAAAAAAGGGCAAATAGGTTCCCATTCAAATATACAGAAAAAGAACCAGAAGGATACAGTCTAAACCAGTAATAGTGCTCTATGGATAGAAGAGAGGCAACTCTTATAACTAAATACTTATTTTCATTTGAGCCCTTATAAAAGTAATGTATCCACGTGTTTCCTGTATAATTAAAACATTTGTAAATATACAGAATAAAAGCTGGTAACCAAGTTCAATGTTGACTCATCAAACTACCTCCTCTCTCCACTACAACTTAACCTAAGTCCCTTTTGTTCACTAACAAGGTCAGGTCCAGGTGGGATGTGGAGGAAGAGCAAATGATTTGGGACCATGCAGGCTTTCATAAGGGGACAGCTGTTTCTCTAAGAGCCACAGGAAGCCAGAGGAGGGTTTCAAAGCCATTTCTACCTTGCTCCAGCTCCTAAGTGAAGATGGTACCCTTAGTAATGATTTGGTGGATCACTTGGGTCAAGGGCAGCAATGGGACAAGGGTAGCCCTGGCTGATCAGGACTGAAATTCAGACCATGACTCTCTAGGCCCATTGGCCTCTCAGACTCCTATCACCGCTCCCACCACCATCCTCCTTCTGACCAATGAACTTCTTCCTGCTCTTCAAGCACTCTTCATTCTCTGCCTCGCCTCTGGGGCTTCTACCAGGCAGGTGATTTCCTCTGCTTTCATTCTCCCAGGCTTCCATGCTGCTGACTCTTCCTTTGGGATGTGGTCTAAAGTCACTTCTTCCAGGAAGTCATCCCTGAGCCCCACTCCAGTGAGATGGGAGCACACACACTGCCTTTCTCAGGCCCCCTCACACTTGGTGATGCACCTTCAGAGATGCCCGTCAGCTCTGCAAGGACCATTTGGCAGCCCTGAGTACCCAGAGCTAGCACAGGGCCTGGTGCCTACCAGGTGCTTTATAAACATTAGTTGAAATAATCTGAATTGGAATGAATTGGAATGAATTTCATTCTGAAATGGAATGAAGAGCAAAGAAGGAACTGGGGAAGCCCTCATGGCTAACTGGGTGCACATGCTTCACATTTCGGTGAAGCAGAGTCCACTGCCCTCTCTTGAAAGTCTCTCCCACTTCCCATAGTCTTTGGAGTATCTAGTCGGGATCTCTTTCTCTAATGTGGATCCATTTCCTCTTGTCCTCTACAAAAACAAAGGCATACCACTCACTAGAGGCACACAGAGATTCTTTTTCAGAGAATAGAATTCACAGTTGGCACCCACCACCCTGCCTCGTCCAGGACAGAGAAATCCTGTTTTATTTTTTGTTTTGTTTTGTGGTCTTCCTTGGAGGGCCAGGGACAGAGTTGATATAGGAGGATTAAGGAAGAGAAGGTCTTCAAGTCTGCGCTCAGACAGACTTCAGTGGTGAGAGACCAAGACCTGCATTCATTAACCCAGTGAAAAGCAAAGCAAAGCCTGCATCTCAGGGGAGGGCTCAAAGCACATGCAAGCTGGTCCTTCCCATCAAATGCCTGACTACTGTAAACAAGGCTTGCTTAAGGCAGCAACTGCCCATTTGGCAAAGTCAAACTTGGTGGCTTTATCTCTACTGAACATTTACCAACAGGAAAGTTAAGGTTATAAATATGACAAGAAACTGGGTATGAGCCCAGAGGGTGCTGCTTCAAAAGGCCGATCCCTTCTCTCTCTGAGCTTACTCTGAGCTTCTTTGCACCACCAGGGAGTCAAAAACTCTCTCCTTGTGAGAATGCTTTCCCCTTCCCCCTATCCATGAGGAAACCCTGACCCAGTGATCTACCATCTATCTGTTCCAGAATATTGCCAACAGGATGGCATTCAAAGTAGCTGAATCCTGCTTAGAACCATTATTTTGAGAACTGGATTCCCACAAACATCATTCATTGGAACAAGTCACCACCTAAGAGTCTGATTTTATGGGAGTTTTTAAAGACAATTCTAATCTTCATCCTTGTGAATCAGTGGTCCAGATCACTGGCTTCTGTCTGGACCCTACAGAACTCTGGGGCTTCCCTGGAATTCCCTTCCCCCATCCCAAGGGTCTTGTAGATGAGAGAGGGAAGGAAAGCGCTGGCACTCTCGTTTCCACTCTGAACAGAGCAGCTTTGGTATCATCTGCTGTACTTAGTACATTTCTGTGTAAGATACTCAAACAAAGGATTTTGTGGCCAAAAAAACCACAAGCTTAAAGCCACCAAATTGGATAATCTTTACAGTACTTTCAAACATTAAGTTGCTAGGTCTTTAAAAATATATATTAAAATATACTATTTACCCCAACCTCCAGAGTACTGTTTCCCATAGAACAATGTATTGGAGAACCAAGCTCTGGAAGGACTTCATTAAAAGCTGTTTCTGCGCCGGGCTCAGTGGCTCAGCCTATAATCCTGCGCCTTTGGGAGGCTGAGGTGAGTGGATTGCCTGAGCCCGCGGGTTCGAGACCCGCCTGGGCAGCGAGACCTCATCTCTGCAATAAATCAAAAAATCAGCCGGGCATGGTAGTACGTGCCTGTAATTCCGGCTACTTGGAAGGCTGAGGCAGAAGGATCGCCAGAGCCCAGTAGGTGGAGGCTGCA